CGGTTACAATCTGTTGGAAGGAGCTTGGGATTTGGAATTGGGGAACCTAGGTTTGAGGCCCAGCCCCACAATCTACAAGATAAGTAACATTAGATGGGTTTTTCCAATTTCTGATCCTTCATAACCCTGTTGTATGTGTATCATCTACTTTGGAAGTTTCTTGAAGAGATTAAGATGTTGGGTACAGTAGCTTATAAACAACAAAGAACTTTATAAATACTAAATTCCTGTAATTTTTCTTAGTAAAGCATGTATACATTTTATCTAAGCGGAACTTGGGGAGTTATTGAATTTTTAAATTTTTGAAAAATTGTCTCAAGACTATAGTCTCCTTTGATTTTTGTGGATAAATTATTGAACTTTCTTGATTCAGTATTACATCCTTGGATGGCAATTTATACCTCTGATTTAAATATATGAATCTAAATTGATCTCTTTGAAAGATCTACTTAGCTTTAGCAATAGAAAATACTATTGGGATAATTTATGGAAGTAGTATTCATCATTATATGGGAAGTTATTCATAAGAGTTGTTTTTTTTCGTGTTCTTCTAGACTTGGCAATTAGATTACATTTAGACTGTAGAATTAAAAATGATTCCCTCTGAGCTGTCCTAGCAAATTACGAAATTGAAGAGAGGGGTTGCGGGAACCCTAGTTTCCTACCATAAGACAGTTTGACTTATTTTTCTTTAAAAGTTGGAAATTCTCATATGGGCATTATTTATCTCATGCTTGGTATTGGAGTCTTTCCCTGGGTATTGATAGTACACTTGAGGAAGCTAAGACTTTGACCTTTTTAATAGCAAGTTTGTCTGTATATGGGATTATGAGCTGTCTTGGTTGCTAAATGCACTAGTGGAAAGGATGGATTACTATAAAACCCCAATAAAATACGTGCTGTGAAGGGTCTGGAAATGATAATGGTACAAATTCTTTTTTAAATGTTTTTTATGTTCTTGAAAGCTATAAGTATGTGCAGGACATATGAAACACAGATTTTTTTTTTTCCTTTTTCTTGAGACAGAGTCTTGCCCTGTCGCTCAGGCTAGAGTGCAGTGGCGCGATCTTGGCTCACTGCAAGGTCCTGGGTTCAAGCAATTCTTCTGCCTCAGCGTCCTGAGTAGCTGGGATTACAGGCATGCACCATCATGCCTGGCTAATTTTTTGTATTTTTAATAGAGGTGGGGTTTCGCCATGCTGGGCGAACTCCTGACCTCATGATCTTCCCTCCTCAGCCTCCCAAAGTGTTGGGATTACAGGTGTGAGCCACTGCGCCCAGCTGAAATACAGACTTTTTTTTTTTTTTAGAAGTGTTATACTAGGCTGGAGGCAGTGGCTCACATCTATAATCCTAGTACACTTTGTGAGGCTGAGGCAGGTGGATTGCTTGAGGCCAGGAGTTTGAGACCAGCCTGGCCAACATGGTGAAACCCTGTCTCTACTAAAAACACAAAAATTAGGTGGTCATGGTGGCTGGCATCTATAATCCCAGCTGCTCGGGAGGCTTAGGCGGAAGAATTGCTTGAACCTAGGAGGTGGAAGGTTGCAGTGAGCCGAGATTGTGCCTCTGCACTCATGCTGAGTGACAGATTGAGGCTCCGTCTCAAAACAGAAACAAAAACAAAAAGAAAAACTAAGGGAAAAAGAGGGAGGACTGGCATGGTGTGGTGGCTTACGTCTGTAAATCTTGAGGCGGGAGGATTGCTTGAGCCCAGGATTTCAAGACCAGCCTGGGCAACATAGTGAGACCCCATCTCTATTTAAAAAAAAAAATAGAAAGTAAAAAAGAGGGAAATGGCAGCTGAGTAGGCAGGCTGAATATCTTTTCCTGATTAGTAATATAATTGACTGTAAGACCTGAGGGAGAAGATGAGCCTGGAGTACAAACGCTGCTGCCATCCCCAGAGGTCTGGAGGGATTGACTGAAAAAACAGGGTGAGCTAGGAGCTAAGCAGGCTTATTTTTTTTTTTTTTTTTTTT